CCGCCGCCTCAGCCGCGTGGCACCTCCTGCCAGGGCCTGGCACACTGCCACCAGCGACACTCCCTGAACATGAACTGCAGGAAGGGCCAAGTTGAGTGAGGGCCAAGATAAGAACTCAGTCTACGTCATTCTCTACCTTACATCTCGAGCTTTTTATTTTATACATTTCATCCTCACTTAGTGGTGAAAACTACCAAGGTTTTTCTATTTAAAATATTAAAAATGTCACTTTTCTAAGAAAAAAAATACAACTTCAGTCTCATAACCTATCAAAGGACTGTTACATTTGGAGCAGGCCCCTACCTTCACGTCACAGAGCCACGCGTACGGGGCGCCCATGACATCACAGAAGGGACAACACGAATGCAGCCGCCCCGAAGGGACACCTCTAATTGGCTAGAGTTATAATCAAGTCCCAGAAATTTCTGTCAACAAAACCATATCCACCTCTTAGTCTTAAAGGGGCAACAATGTTTTAAGACCAGAGTAGGAACAAAAACTTCCGTGTCTAAAGATTGTTTTATTTAAGCACAAACAAGAGGAAAATAGGCACCCCCTTTTTCAAACCAAGAGACACAAAAAGAGGTAAAACTTGTGGTCCAGAATGTCTCTGGTGTAACATCCAAAACGCTCACAAGGTAAAGGCATTTCCCTTGTAAGTGTGTGCTCGGGGCCCCCACTCCTGTGCCTGGGTCTCTGTTTCCGGACGTACGAATCCCAGGAGGCGCAGGGGGACAGTCAGAGGGCCCCCCACAGCGGTCCTCTCCGGAGGCCCACACACTAAGGACCCACTTAACGCAGGCTTCTCAGCCACAGCCTGACGGACATCCTGAGCCAGGTGACCCCGTGTGGGGGCTGTCCGTGCCTCAGCCGTGTGGCATCTGCTCTCGATGCCAGTTGCAGTCTCTCCCCACGCCCAGCTGTGACAAAGGCAGCTCAGCATCAGCTCGTGAAGTGGCCAAATGCCCAAAGGGAGGTGGCGACCAACCTGCCCAGGGGGAAACCCAGGGACTTACGGCAAAGGGGCATCTGATACCTCCTGTTCGACATCGATTCTCTGTGGCAGAGAGATTCGGCAGCACAAGCCATGGAAACTTTCAGTTCCTGAGGCTGTAGTTTCCCACGTGTGCCCGTGGTGAGGTCAGTAAAACCGCAGAGGGGGAAATGGGCCACCACAGAGCAGGCAGCAGGAACAGGGGAGCCAGGAAGCCTGTGCCACCCTATCTGGGAGAGGCCCAAGGACCCAGGAGATGCCCTGGGCGGGGTCAGTGCTGAGGAGGGCACAGGGCACTAAAGCACAGAGGGAACGGGAGCTGGAGGCCAGCCCTGCTCCCAAGACCGGCTCCCCCCGAAAAGGTCACCCTCCAAATCCTCACCTCACAAAACCCCCCCAGAATCAGTGGGGGAGGAAGGAGAGCTGGCACAGGCAGAGCACGTTAGTATTTCCAAACGCCTGACTGGCCTCCTCCGGGTATTCCTGTTTTTAATTACACTCCTTAAATGATTTTTGTTGTTACTATCCTTATCCAATGATAGTTTTTCCACTGATTTTTAAAACGTGAAAGGGACGGAGGGAGAAACGAAGGGAGGGAAACACCAATGTGAGACACATGGACTGGTTCCCTCTGGCAGGTACCCTGACGGGAGGGGATTGAACCTGCAACCCAGGGACATGCCCTTGACCAGGATTCGAACCCGCCCCCTTGGGTGCTCGGGCCGACTCTCTAATCACTGAGCCTCACCAGCCAGGGCTCCTCCAGGTATTCTTAAATGGACCTTTAAATCTCCTTCACCTTAAAAAAATAAATAAAAATCTTCAGGCAATGCTTTCGGAGCCATCATCCCCCACAACCCTAACCAAATGCAAGACTCATAATGGGGCACCCCACAGAAGAGAGGAGGGAGGTCAGTGATGGAGAGATTGGGGTTCCCAGAGAGGAAGTCACTTCCACCCTTAAGTTTCCTCTCTAGGAAAAAGGAGGGTCTGCATTTCTTTAATCCTGCACTGATTTTTATTCGGTGTACCCTCGGTAAGTGTGCTAAGACCTTTGCAATCATGAAAAACTTTCAAGATGTGATTCACCGCTTCCTAAAAGGAAGAGCATGACCCAGAGCAGAAATCACAAGGGAAGTAAAACAGCAACGAGGAGGCCTCTGAGCTAAGGGATTTCCGCTTCGTGTGTTCTTTCCAGTGCTTTCAGGTTTAATATGACTGCATTAAGTATGTCAGGTTTTTTAATGACTCCTACTTCCTGAAATCACTAGAAACAAACCAAGTTTGCTTTTTAATAAACCGGACTGCAACCTCCTGGACACTGGAGAACCCTTAAGAGGAAGAGACCTGATGTAACTATCATTGGGAAAGGATCCTTGTAGGTGGTCACAGAAGGAAAGAGAAAACGGCCAAAGCGCCCCAGCCACCGCCTGTGGACCTGCCTGTGATCGGCCACTGCAGACGACACAGTGTCCAGGTCACACGGCACAAGAATCCACTAGTCCAGTAACCCTCACCAAAGGGAAGTTACCCCTTGAGTGAGTAACCTGCTCTATATCCTCACCACGGAGGCCAAACTAGTGGGAACTAAAGAAAAAAAAAAAACAACAAATCAAACACTGGCTTAAGAATTGAGCTCTGTGATGTGGGGAGTTCACAACACCTCTCTTGGCCTCAATGTTCACATCTGTAAAACGGACCAGAGTGTGAACTAGCCCTGGCCAGTTTCATCCATTCGCTCATCCATCCAGCCAGCCATCCAGTCATTCATTCATTCGGCAAATCTGTGTTGAGCCACGGATGTCACACACTATTCCAGGTGCTGGGGAAGACTGGCGTCTCCAATGGAGCTTACATTCCAGACTTTGAAACTTACTAGAATTCAATGTTTTTCAGACTATGGGCTGTGAAACCCATTTTCAAAAGAATCGATGGAACAGTTTAAAATCTCAGAGTCCATCACACATGGGAGGAGTAAGTTCTGCTCCAGCCGCTGACAGGGGCATTGATGAGGACTGGGGGTCAAGAAGTCGAAGGCACTTCTGAACAGGGGCCAGCCGGCCCGGCCCGATAACACCCTCTTTCTGCTCCAGCTGCCAGCCCTCCTCCTCCCCTGAACGCAGGCTGCTTCTCAGGAACACTCTGCCCATAGATTAAATCTCATCATTTCCTCATTGGCCCCGTGATGGCACTTTGGATAAATATCAAAGAATATGTGTTTCAGATCCCTGTTCCCAACCTTTCTGCGTAGGATCCTTTGAACGTCAGTCCTTCTGTGAGCACGTCTCATCTGCTGATGAAGAAAACGGATAGTGGCCAAAAGCCACAGGAGCTTGTAAATGGATGGATGGTCCGTTGGCCTGAGAGTCCTACACAGAAACCATGAGAACCAGCACAGTGAAGGCCCAGGAGCCATTCCACCCAGGCCCCTGCATCAACCGATGCTCAAATAGATAGCCACCGCCTGTGCCTGAGGGGCCGGGACAGACTGGGAGGACCAAGCCAGGCCCCTCCGTTTGAGTATGTGAGAACCAAGCTGTTCTTACTAGAAGGTGGCTACGGTGACTTTTGTTTTAATGCCCTCTCCCCTCCTTTTTTCCAACTGAAGCAAACCTCTATATCTGAGCCCAAGAGGGCACCTAAGTTTGGTATCTGTTGGTCACTTTGCTGTTTCATAATTTTGTGTTTAACCCTGTGAGCCCACACCTCTACAGGCTGCTCCTGGGAACTGAAATACTAATTGTTGGCAAGGTGCCCAGGGACATGCCCAACCCTACCAACTGCTTTTGTTCTAAAAGAAAACATCCGAGGGCAGCAACTATGGCAACGGGAAGTGAAAGGAGCCGAGACAGATCCCCTGAGAACTAAGACCAGCACCACAAATCCTCCTGGGGCCACGTGGACCCCGAGCTCACCCTGAAGTCAGGCACTGCGCCCGGTTTCACTCTGCCCCCGACCACGAACTCCCCCTCCCTCCGCATGCTGCTCTGGGACAGCCCCTGCACACAGGGTTAGAGGTCAGCACGGGATGGCCCATCCTTAGGCGCCAGGCGTAGGGAAGGCACCCCTTTGCGACAGGTCCGAGGTGGCCCCAGTGGCACCAGGCTGCTGCCTGCCAGCTCCCAACTCCAGAGACCAGCTCTAGCTGCATCCTCCCCATTCCCTTCCTGCACATCCCGACCACACCCCACGGGGCTGCAGGTGCCACCAATCCCTCAGAGAAGGTGCAAACTGCGACCGGAACACTGACAACTAGGTTTCACGCTGCATACTGGTCCATTTCTTCCTAAATTACCCACTTTTTAAGCTTACAAAGAGCAAATTAAGGAGAAAATGAACTTCTAGGAAAATCTGTTTACTTCTCTGGTAAGTTACAGATGAGGTCATTTCCCTGCGGCCGACCATCAGCTGTGACACCAGCGAGCTGCCATGTGATGCTCAGGCTGCCCTCAAACCCTGACCCCGACGCAACCCTGGCCTCAGAATACTCTGGAGCAAGCAGATGCAGGAATGGCCAAAAGAACAGCCGCTTTGAGTTTTTCTACTTAAAAAGACCTCTTGCCTGGGTGTTTCCAAATGTTGCTCTTCATGTTCCAGAACAAAATCCAGGACCTCCTCCGACATAAGTAGGACCTGGAATGCTGTCATCTTAGCGAAGACAAAACCCAGGGGTAGATGTCTTCAGAAACTACAGGCAACTGGGAGCAAAGGCCTGATCCCCCCACTTTCAGATTGCTTATCAGCTCATGAATTCCAAGTGAGCAGAAGAGCTCTCACACTCATATAAGCAGTGAACTCTAAAGCCCACGCACACATTCTGCATTTACATACACTCACACTGCGCATGTAACAGCCCTGTCTCTGCCTGGAATCTGCAACAGCTCTGTCCACTGGCTGCTACACAGCAACACCCGGCCCTCCTTACACGGATCATTTCAAAGCCCGGCCAAACCCCATGGGCTGAGGTTTCCTTACGGCCAAGTGAACTCGGGACATTCGTGGTTACCGAGTCTCGGCGGCACCGGCGACCCGGGCGGCGACAGGTGCCCCCTGGGAGACAGGTACAGGTACTCCTTGTTCACTCCGGCGGCAAAATCAAAGGGGGACTGGTAGTCCTCGTCGGGCTCCATCGCCAGGTCCATTCCAGAATGCGGGGCGCATGGCTTGGCCACCACCAGTGTCCTTCAGCTGCGGCCACACCCCCACCTGCCGAAGAGTCCACGGGGTTTAGAGACGGGCCTCCTTCCCGGAGCCTCACAGCCGCAGTCGCACAGGCGTTTGATAAATGACTTCACCCAGCAATCCAGGAGGCGCTGCCCCCAGCTGCTGCTCCCCAGCTGCTGCTCCCGTGGGGGGGTGGGGGGGGCGGGCGGGCGGGCAACAGAACCAGGAACCAGCACGGGAACAGCTCTCTTGGGTCAACAAAGGAGGGCCCACAGGTGCCAACAGTTCCAGCAACGCCACACGGGCACTGGCACAAGAAACAACCAGGTTTGTTTTGTGTGTTTTTAACCAGTCAGCTGACCAAAATGGCCCCAGCAGGCTAATCCTCCAGGACAAGGAAGGATTACCAGGCAGTAATCCCGCCACTCCATCTGCACCAGCATCTCTCCACGGACCAGAGCGCACCTCTGAGGCCTCGTTTCCTGCGATCTCGATCAGCTTTCTCAGTACAACCTGGTGCAGAATTAAAGCTGTATTTCCACTATCATTTTATCTAAACTAAGTCTGACCTGCCTGCCCTCCCAGCCCTCCCTCGGCCCCTCCTCTTCTTCAAAGACCCTGTTTTGGTCACATGTCCTGCAGAGAAGAATCAACTCCGAAGGCTGAGCGCCCAGTGTGCCTGCAGCTCCTTGTTGAACTCAGGCCACGCCTCTGCAGGTGCGACAAACCCGTGGGGAAAGGTGCAGGGAAAGCGGGTCTGCCTTTGTCTCCTGCCCCACGGCGGGGGGGGGGGGGGGGGGCATCAGACAAAAGGTCTATGTCATCGGATTAATTTCCTTTACACCCGTTTCTTTTCTTTACACCCCAGGGACTGGGGCCTTCGCTGCAGGAACCCACCACATGCTTCCGCCCGCATGGCTCACCTGCTATTGAGGAGTAAAGAGAAGGGCCACCCCTTAGGTGGGCCTGGTCTGTCACTGCGGAACAACAAGAAAGCCATCCTACCTTTTCAAATCTTCCTGACAAAAAAGGGAATGCAATATATTCTCCCTCGACTGGAAGCAAACAGAAAACCTAAAATATCTGAAGCATTAAAAAGAAAAAAACCACCATACACTATATATGCACCAAGACAGTCTATATTTATCCCAACTCATGATTCATATTCTATTTTTTAAAATATGTTTTTATTGATTTTTTTAGAGAGAAAGGAAGGGAGAGGGGATGGAGAGATAGAAACATCAATGAGACATAAATTGGCTGCCTCCTGCACGCCCCCTACTGGGGATCAAGCACACAACTGGGGCATGTGCCCTGACTGGGAATTTAACCAGTGACCTCTTGGTTCATGGATGGATGCTCAACCACTGAGCCACACTGGCTGGCCCATATTCTATTTTTTCGTTAATCTCATGTTGTACGCTATCTGGGGCAAGTCTTTATCTTACTTAAGTTTTTAAAAAGTTGAATTTAGCAACAACAAGCAATCTGTATTTTTCTCCTAAAAGACACCCAAATGTGGACAACTATAGAGGCTGTTCATTCCACATTTAGACATAGAATAATTTTTATTACTGTTTGAAAGAATGAACTGTCTGGTTTCTTGAGATCCACAGGACCTCCTATGCGACAGGACAGGCACCACAGGACTGTCCCTGGACCAGAGTGTGGTTAGTGAGCACCCCACGCACTGGTCTCTAACTGGTAGAAAAAGCGGTTCTCCATGCCCGCTCTCCCTCCTAGAGCCACACCCTCCTAGAGCCACAGTGTTGCAAGTCTCTCTCGACCATGAAGGACACAAAAGACAACAGCCATCTGCCAACCAGGACAAGGGCTCCCACCAGGAATCAGATCCACCCTGACCTTGGTCTTGTCACCCCCAGAACTGTGAGAAACGGGTGTCACTGTCATCAGCCATCCAGGCCATGGTCACTTATAGAGCAGCCGGAGCTAAGACAGAGGCAGCAATACTGACCGACGGCATAAGCACAGCCACCTCCACACGTGTCCCCCTCCCTCCAAACCCCCGGCCCTTGATCTGCAGTCGGGAAGGCCACACGACACCCTCCGCCTGAAGTGCCACCTTTTTTTCTCCTTCTAAAGTCATTCATCTTTCAAGATCCAGGCAGAAGCATGGCCACCTCTTCCTGGAAGCCCTCCCTCTCCCAGCTCCCTCGTCCACAGCAGCAACACACAGAACGTGCTCCAGCCCCCTGGGCCCTCGTCCTCCTTGCCAGGGCACTGATTCTCCATGGTGGTACCTGCCCTGAAGGTCTGGCTGATGGATGTGGAATGAAGGTCTTGTGTATAAATATGAGGATTTATAATTTAAGTGATACCTGAAATTACTACTCCACCTGCTGAGGTACAATCTCAGGACGGATATATCACACCCTGCCTCTTGGCTATTGGTCTCCAATCAGGTCCTCACCCAGTCATTCCCGCAGGTGAGGAGAGTGGACAGAGGCCGGAGGCGGGACAGCAGGGAGCATGTCAATGGACTGGCAGGAACCCAGCTGATGCAAGGTCCCACACCAAGGAGAAGGGAGTTGTAAGATTCAGAACATGGGAACGTAACTTGGGGACAGACCACTAAAGACCTTGAGTGACAAACTTTTATACTTCACACAAGGTGCAAAAAAACCACTGGAGGTGTCTGAGCCAGGCAGAGGCGGGGTGGAGAGTTTTATGAATGTCAGTCTGGAGATGGTGCGTAGGATGCACCGTAGGTAGAAACAGGCTAAGGGGGGACTCGGGGACGCCTACCGCTGCAGTCGGGGTCCAGGGAGAAGCCTCTGGTTTGGGGCAGCCCTTTCCATGTCTGCCGTGGGCCCGACGGAGGAAACATCAGGACAGATTTAGTCCTGTCCTGCCGGACTTTGCCATGTGGGCCTTCCAAAGGTACTTCACTACCAACAGGGACCAGTGCCGGACACCAACTCCAGCATGACAGCAGGGCTGCACCTGGGAATGGCTGAGGGCATTTCCCCAAACCTGAGTAGGATGCATTAAATTGATTGTTTGCTGCCAGACTGATCACCCCCAACTGCCCTCCCCTCCTGGCCTGATTGCCCCTAACCAGCTCTGCCTCGGCCCGCCACCATGGCTTTGTCTGGAAGGTCTCCCGGTCTAATTAGCATATTATCCTTTTATTGGTATAGATACATTTCTATGTGACTCCACTTATGGTTCAGGTTGGAGTCTATCATTTCAGTAGAAAAAGTCCTACCTTCCAACCACTTCCCACTATTACCCCAGTCACGTTTTAGCCAAACTTGATATTCCTGTTTCTCAGACACATCTGAACTCGGGCAAGACAATTTCTCAAACTGGGGCCTCTTTTCCCTGTATTTCTACCTGTCAAATTCCTACTCACTCATCCAGCTCAACTTAATAAGTCGCCTATGAATGGTAGGCGCACAGGGATGGTCATTCTAGTGCTACCTGAAGTGGAGGAAAAACAGCACATGTGCCTAAAAGTGATAGCTTAAATGCTAAATAGAACATCCACATAATAGAAAATTACACCAACATTAACATGGTGGTGAGGACATGTACATGTTTTACAGGGAAAGATATTCTTGAGACAATCCATATACAAAGAAGGTTCCAAAACTCTTTGTATTGTATGATCTATAAATGTGCAATTACTGGAGAGAAAGAGACCAACTAGCCAAAAGAAAGAAAGTGTCAGGAGAAATCCACGTCACACAACCCCAGGAAAGTACCTATGCTCGACAGTGTCAGCAGAGGGCGCCCTTGGGCAGCTCAGCCCTCAGTCTGGCCAGCAAAGTGCACACTACAGAGCAACAACCCATTAGCTGACTCATGCTGTTGCAGATGGAAATGTAGGCAGCACAAAGGACGATAAAGAATATTAAGTTTCCACCTGCCCATTAACACATCACTCAAGTAGGTCTGGACAGGTTCTCCCTAATTTTGAAAGATACTGAAGGGATGGTCTGATGTAAAAGCTATGACAGGTACAAAAATTCTCTTGGGGGGCCTCAAAGTGCACACAGACGGACAATGTCATTACCCAACTGGAGAGGCAGGCACTGGTATCAGACACGGGGACGAGTTACCACAGCAGCCAGCGGGAAGGTGTTCCCGCTGGACAAATACGGGACAATTTAACCACCAACCTAGTTAAGGACAGCAAAGTTATACATCACTGAAAACAGGAACCAAAGGGCCCATATGGAATGGCTAATTTTTGTGTCCATTTGACTGCCCAATTATAAGGTTGACCACTGTCTGACCGACTGACTTGCAAGGAAATTCTCACCTGGCGCTCCAACCTCCTAGCGGGATGCTTTTCTGTCCTCCCAAAATAACTGAAATCGAGTCTGTGCCCCACAGACAGGCCAGGGGCCTTTTTTTCCTTTAAAATGATTTTTGAAATATTGAAGAGCAGGAGTTATAATGAGAACGAGACTTTATTCCCCCCCTCAACCTATTTTCAAACATATTTTCCAGCTGAGCCTCTAACAGGGAAAACCAGGACCTGCTGACAAATGTCAAAAAATGCCCGAATTCTCCATCATGAGGGAGTTGGAGGCTGGATCCCAAAAGTACAAAGAGGCCTCACTATCCCACAAGGTCGCCCTCCTGCACAGGTGGCGTTCCTGCTCTGACTGGAGAGTTTCGATAGCACAACAGGAAATCATAGCGAGATAGCCCGCTCTTCCGTCAGTACCAGGTCACTAACTGCAACATCCACATCTTTCATTTTTAAACAGGGCTGTTTCAGTGTTCGGGTCCCTCTTCACCTGGTGGTTTCCATGACGACGGGCTCAGAGCCAAGTTCTCCCACTTTCACATGTTCACAGACCACCTGGGGACCGTGCTCAAGGACGGGTCCCTCCCCACTGCACGGGGGGGGGGGGGGGGCGGCGGGGGGAGGGAAGACTGCTGAGGCCTGCTTTAGACAGCAGCGCGGCGTCTGCCTTAGGATACAGCCTGAGCAAGCTCTCAGACCTGTCACTCCACC